CGTGGGTACTATGACAGTCTCTCGTGTCCTCAGTTAAAGGTACAGAAAAAGAAGCTTTATTTGTTTCAAATATTACATGCACTTTCAAAAATTATAACTCTTTTATTTAAACATCTCAATAGCATCTTGTCAGTTTGGAGGCAGCAAAGAATAACAGACGTTTTTAAAAGCATTTACAAAAATACATTGCACAAAGTCCTATCTTGCTTTTTTTAAAAATAAGTTAGTGTTATTCAAAATATTCCCACCCTGGCTACCCAATTTAAATTTATACAGGATAATTCTAATTTTAAATATGTAACCTATAATATGAAAACACCTATACACATGTCATCTAGCTCCTCGGTGTAGGCCACAGGTTCCGGCTCTAGCTCAAGTGAAGAAAAACAAAAGTTCTTCCCAGGGACACTTGTTTTTCAACATTCGAGGACTTGTGCAACATAGGTAACTCTGTTCAGAAAACCCGTCAGCAGTTCCGTGCGTTAACGGTTCAGGCTTACTACAACTGCATTGTCACAGCAAGACAAAAGTTCTGCGTGCGAGGCCGTGTCAGGGACCTCTTCTGAAAAGGATCTTCAGTCGCAACAAACAGTTTTGTTCTGGGAGCAAGACCCCCGGTCTCACCTGCCCGAGTGAGGCTGCTGGGGATGATGTAAAGGATGCCCCTGTAGTGCAGCACAGCCCAGAACCCCCTGGAGCGAGGTTCACTCCCATCCTGCTTTCCACAGGCTGCATCCTCACAGTGCAACCTGTACTGAGCGCAACAACGAAGCCACCCAAGGAATTCTTGTCCCAAAGAGATCACTTCTGACAAATTACGACTGTTTAATTGCTGTATCCTAATGTTTACTAAGCAAGTTAGCAGGCTTATCAGCTCTGATCCACTTAGTTACAACATCAAGGTCAATTTGGAATTAACACTAAAAAAAACAAACTGGCCCAAGTTGCTATGGTAAAAACCCTTAACTTCAGTTAAAGTTATCCCTGTCTTTCAGAGGAATTCATGGCCACAAGTTACAGTAAAGCGTTCTCAGGCGCTGGTGTCTAAGCTGGTTTTGGCTGTAACTTTCCCTGACAGTAGTGTTTATTATATTCAATGGGTATCAAAGCTGCCCTTTTGGGTCCACCAAAAAGGTCTAAACACAGGGTCAGCTGAAGGACACCTTTAGCCACAGCCAGTGTTTAAAATGTACCACAGTTGTTGGTTTACAGTGCCAAGCTGACAGAATTATGCTGTTGAAATTCTGGAGTCTTAAAAAAACCAGATTCCTAGTTGCAGAAAGTATTTATTCTTTTAAAAAACCTATACATTCATTTGTAATAAAATAGGTGTCACCTGTTTGCCAACTGGGCTTTATGAACCAGAGTAGTTTGCATGCATTATTTCCCTCAGCATGGACATGAAAATATAAAACTGGCAATGACAAGCTGAGCATTAGAGCAAATATTTTTTTTATACAGTTCTGCTGGCAGTCTTCTGCCTGTATCAGAGGATCAATAGTTCTGCAGTATGTATCTTGCATCCTCGTCCTTTTCCAGTGTTCTAGGCTCTCCAGTATATACAAATTGAGAACAAAATGTACAAGAACAGACCCAAAAGCTGTAGTGTAGGAGATTACTCAGCGGGTTTCCCATGCACTCGGAACCGATAAAGGCAGGTGTATTCTGGATGTCCCCAGTTAGAAAAAATCCTCAGTTCCACTATTTGGAATGCGTTTTCACTTTTCTCCTGGAGAAGGAAAAGGCAAACACAAACCAGAGTCAGGCTTCCAGTATAAAGAGATGCAACTGAAGTTGCTTTCTTAGATTCCTGCAGCTATCAGCTTTTACTAGTCACTCAGTCAAGGCTTGGGAACTTTCTGCCACATTGAACAGAACCTTCCTTGCCCTACAACTGGCTATTTGTGAAGGGTGTCAGCATGAACCAGAGTTATCTTGTTGAGCATCTTCACACCAGTTGTGTCCAAATGGCACAGATCTTTCGCCCCCTCCAATGTGTTCAGGCCACAGGTTTTAAGGCAGACAGGTATATGCTTTCTACCTCAGCTTCTGCAGTGCCCACCAGAGAACAAGGCCTTTTTCCTTCACTGCTCATTGCACACCACCATAGAAAACAAGCATCTTTCTCCTGACACTTTAGATCTTATCATCCAAACTTACCATCACTGGAAACATCTGCAGTGGTTCTCCTTCCTGATCATAGACATACTGTCCTAGAAGCGTGCCTTCTTCTTGATATTCATCATCTAGACCCTACAACAACAAGATTAAGATTTTACTTGCATCAAATTTGAAATCAAACCGAAATGAGAAGCATGGCTACATAACTGAGTATCAACAAACAGCACTCAGAAGTCTGTCTCTCCAGGATCACAATGTTTCCCAAGTAACTTAAAGCTTGTCAGGCACAGCTCTGTATTTGAGTTTCCTGCACTGCAAATAGCTGTGCTACATTTATGTGTTTTCATGGTCAAGTCCCTTAATTTCCATGGCAAAACCACTATCACCATGTAGAATATAAACTGCTCAGGACAAGCAAGAATGAGAAAACATCAGAGTTATAAACAAGACCAAAGTGAAGATTCAGAAGCTTGCAGATGACAGCTTAGGCATTTAAGAGAATGAGACAAAGTTCTCACATATCACAACTATACTCTGATATAGCCAGTGGTTTTCTGTTGTGTAATCATGTCTATGCAACTGTGGTGCTAGTTAAAATCAATAGAAAGAAAAAAAAAAAAAAAGGCACATCACAGATAAGGTAAAGAGCCAAAACATGTGAGGGTGGATGAATGGAGGAGTGGGGGAAGGATGAAGCAATTAAAGTGTATGAAAGAACTACACCAAATTAAAACCCATTATCTTACTCCAAAAACACTTACTATTGTATAAAGCAGGAGAAAAGAAACAACTCCCCCAAATTAAATGTTACTCTTCTTGTACCTCACCTCAAATCTCAAAAAAAAAAAAACCCAAGCAATTTTAAAAGCAAAACAGGTAACAGGTTCTCTTCCTAGCTGTTCTCTCTTAAAACATTTTCCAAGATACATAACACGAATATTCTGAATGTATGCAAACATCAGTAAGTTCAAGCTTACATATACTGAAAAATTCCTAGGAGCACTGGAGATGTTTCCCAATGGTGAAAGTGTTTTTGGTATGTGCTCGATTGTAAAGGCTGTTGGATAGATCTTCATTGAAAGTTTCACTACAAGGTAGCCCAGTGATCCTTTGAAAGCCCAGCAGTTTCCAGGATACATGTCCGGCTAGACAGGAGGAAGGGGGAGAGAACAGGATGTGACACAATAACAAACAACCAAACCAAGCATTTTGTAGTTATATTTTTTGTCAGAGTTGTAATGAATTCTGAATTATTAGGGACAGTTTTGGATAGTAAGTAGCAGAACCTAATCTATTTGGTAGAGCTCTCAGGGAGACAGCTTATCTACCTGAACTACCAGCAGCGCTTTTAAGAACCCACCTTGAGATTACTTCTCAACGGGGACCCTGCCAGTGCTCACTCTTTGCAGAAGTCTAAGGCACCACCCAAGCCTCCTACAAGAGTCTTAATTTTGCTAAAGTAGGACTTCAGCAGTGCCCAGGAACTACAGAAAAATCTGACTCTTGGGAACATAGTTCAAAGTACCTGTGCCCCCCCTAGTATAATACAGACAGAAACATCCAGCACCCAAAGACCAATCCAAATCACTCCAAACAATCCAAATCCAAAATAATGTTGCTGAATTTGTTTACTCAGCCTTTAATTACCTGAATCACCACTCTGGGAGACTGAGCCGAGTACCACAAAGGAATTCCAAAGAGGCTAATTACCGCTGTTTTGGGCTCGTAGGTTTCTGAGCAGCGAGTACTCAGAATGCTGCCACCTCAAAAATAGATATAGCAAGTTAGCAGAAATAACTTATTTCTTCCTGAGACTTTTAAGGCATAGATTTAAACAATGCTTAATGAATATACCATTATAAAAAAAAAAAAAAATGACACACCTAGCCTATTAAAAGGTATCATTTAAGTCTAATAATTTTCTGGGGATACAATGCTTCTGTGAAGTACAAAGTTACATGAACAACATGTTCAAGGTTTCTAATTTAAGAGGACTAAAAAATACACATTTGCTTGTGAGTTCAGTGGTGGGTACACCCCACACAGACACATGGGTGGCTCTCTATAATCCTGTTGTACACATGCTTGCAAGAACTGTCCTATCCCTGTCCATGCATACCTAGATCAATAGCTAAAACAACACGCACAGAAAACAGTCTGATGATCCTGCAACACACAAGGATGTTCTAGTAACCTTTAGCCCTCATTTCAAGATTTTTAGTAAATACTACAAGTAAAGTGAATAGTAAAGAAGTATAGGTTACTATTTACCTCCAGATTCCAAGGCGAAATCCACCATACCAGTCTTGTCTTGAGAATAGAGCCTCAGTGCATTATTTACAATAATCTGTGCTTGCTAGAGGTGTGCGCATAGAAGAGGAGAATGGAAAGATAGATTTTAAAGAATATTAAGTGATAAAATAATGGTGACAATATACACATCTTCATATATGCACATAAGCACCTTTATGAGATGCTGCACTACATCACAAGTCTTTGGAAGCCTCTATCAAGACAGAGGCCACTTTTAATGTGTGGTTGTCTGGCTCAAAATACTAATTCATACTGCATTTTTACTGATGTTTTCTTCACAAGTTTTATTCTTTCCCCCTACCTTCCTAGGACCCTGAGCTGCATTTCTTTAGTATACTTGTTTTTTCGGAATTCTTACATTTTCAAGATAGCATACTTCAGAAAAGCAAACATTCACAACAGGCAGCAAGCAGTGCTGCAAGAATACACTCAATAAAGCTTTTTCTGTATTTCTCCCAATTTCAGTTAGCATTCCCAACATCTCTAAATGTCACTATAAACATTAATGACAATCATGTCAGCAAAATGCCTACAGAGAGACTCTTTACTGTTTTAGTTGAGCTTTTGAGAACTTAAACTCACTCACCGCTTCTGTGATTCCAGTAATCCCTGCATTAGCCACAGCGTTTGTTACTACTTCAGGTGTCAGTTTTTGGTTTGTAACAGACATATGGAGAGTAATATTCCTGAGGATCTGCAACTCCAGATCCTGCAGCAAAGTCTGCAGATCACTTGTGCTCACAAAATTGGACTTAATCCACTGGAGGAGTGATTCAGGAAGGTCTTCTTGCTGATCACCAAACAGCATTAGCTTGACAGAATCTCTGACCTGGGCATCTACCTGGTGGAAGCCATTAACAATTATAGCAGAAGTGATTAGTCTTTATAAACCATTAAGTAATATCATATCTATAAAAGGCACATGTGAAATCAATACATACATTCAGTACTACCCTAGCCCACCTTTCACATGTATTCTAACTACCTTAACTGACACTGAAATAACAGACCAGGCAGTTGTGCAGAACATATGGGGAATCTGCATGCTTCATTGGTTGGGTGAACAAGACACACTCAAACCCTTGGCAGACTGTGCTGTTCATATTAGGGGTCCAATGCTCCAGAATTAGAAAACAAGTTGGCTGCAATGTTTCAAAGAAGGCACTGTAGCAACTAAGGGCAGCAGTGCCTAGTTAAGCAAGTTGTTTAATCACTCACTCGTGGTATGCTTTGATTCCATACACAAGAGTTGGATCATATCTGACTATAACACCATCTTGTGATAACACTCAAAACTGATAATCCTGTACCAATACTTACTGTTGTATTTGTTTGCTACATTCTAGTCAGACCTTACATAAAAGTCTTAAAATTAATTTAAGCCTGATTTTTTTTAAAAAACTCTCAGCTAAAACCTAACTTGCTTTTACATAAGTTTCTTTCCAAAATTTCTACAGGTTAGGCAAAATACATTGGTAAGAACAAAGTACTGTATAAAGAACTGCTGCACATCTTATCTGAAATGTGAAACCCTTGCCACTGTAGGAAACAAGCCATAAACTCTTACCTTGTAAAATGGAACACACTAATGAAAAACATTTACAGTAACATAAGACACTATCACTCTAAGATGAACACAACCCTCACATTACATCTTGCAGTGCATTTCAAGAAAGTTAGTGAACAAAAATCAAGTAGTATCAAGTTCTACTAGGACAGTGAAAGAACCTACTTTTTCATGAATAACAGTTTCATGAATTTTCTTGCAACTTGTCTTCACACTTTCCTCAGTTAACAGCTCTGACTTCATCTGTGACAACTCTAGTTCTAGCTTCTTAACTTTGGACAACAGTTGAATATGTTCATCATCATCTCTGATAAAAACAGGGAGTCAATAATTAGGAAAGAGTAGTTTGAATCATTCCATCAAGTTCTAAAGGTGTGAAAATGTATCTGTCTAATGCAAAGTGTTTGCCTAGTTCAGTTATTCACCACGACAGACAACATGAGCTTGCAGTTCCTTGAAGCTGTTATTTCAGGCACGCTTCAGATAAAAATACTTTGCTTTGAATATATTAAATTTGTGAACAAATCCAGCAGTGATGACTTTAGAACAACACCAGGCTGACAAGTTAATAAGTCAAACGTATATACAGATTTTGGGGAATTTAAGATTTCTGGCAAACCAGTCAGACTTTATTTGTGTAAGTTTGTCACTGGTTAGAGTGAGTTTCAAGTTACCTTACTTAAACCAGAATAACTTTAGAGGCAGCTGTCAAATTGAGCTCAAGTAGCAGGTCACGTATGGCCAATACAGATCGGTGTTCAGTGTGTGCAATGGAAAAAAGTATCGGCCATCATTCTGTAGCCATTCTACATTTCAATCTAACTTAAGTTACAACTCAGCAAGTGAGTGTTTCTTTTCCTTTTCCCAGTAGAGAAGCTACATAATGAAGAGCTGCAGTTTTTATCCTGGTATTACACCGTACAAAAGTGCAAAGTAGCACAGCTGACAAGCCAAAAAGAGACAAAGGTTAGAATTGATACAGTTAAAGATTTTCAATATAAAGCCCATCAAAAGCAGTTACTGTATACTTCATTAAGCAATTTGAGGAAAAATTCTATTGCATTTATAAGAGGATGAGAAGTCAATTATTCTCCTCTGTTTAAATAGCTTTCTGTAGTACAAAAGCTAGTTGTAGGATGGCTCACACACTGGCAGAGGGCCTTGTGTGATGTTCAGCATCACAGTTCAAGTCTACTGCAAAACAGAAGTAGTCTTGCTGGCAGCAAACTCTTAACGTCAGTTAATTGACACAAAGAAAATGATTGCTGTATTTCAAATAGGAACATGCATGTCACCATCAGAATTGAAAAGGCAAAATCGTTTCAAAAGTGCTTATACCTCATTGTTTTTGCTTTAGCTGCGTCAAGCTCCTTCTGGATGCCCTAAAAAAACACAACCAAAGTTAGTTCTAACACTAGAAAGAAACATGTGACAGAAAGAAGGTAGTGTTAAGGTAGAACGACACATTTTAGCACCACCTATACAAGACTGAGTCCCCTGTATAATAAGATTTTATTTCTAATAGAACTTGCCTCACTGGTCAAGTGAGTAATTTTTAATCTTTGGATTGCGGAAGCAAGAAGATAAGTTTTAAGATAAACAAGTTTTGAGACAAACAACTGCAATAGCTAGAGCACAGGAAACTGGAGTTTGGGACAGTGAATTAAGCAAAGCTAACTTTCAATACCTTGGATTCAGCAGAGAGTTTTTGAAGAATGTCTTCCAGCGTCAGGATGCGCAACTCATGTTCTTGATGTAAAGCCTGGTAGTCAGTCTTAAAAAAAGAAGGGAAGAAAAAGGTGGTGTATTTCAGTTTTGAGTACAAATATAATAATTGGGATTTTCTACAATTCATAATTTTTATTTCATTCTGTGAATGTTCAAGTGACTTATCCTGCAAGTAGCATGAGAAATTACAGAAACTATAATAAGCATGAAGTCCTGATTCAGCAGCAGGGGTTATACACAGGGAGGTTTACCACAAAGCCCCTTCTTTGTCACTATAGTCCTTCCTATCATCTTCTTCCTCTGTATGAAAACAGGATAAATCCAGTGGCTTTCCAGCAATGTAAGACTCTACTTCAGCCCGGCTATCTGAATTAATTCTTTGTCAGCAATAACAATGGAGGAACAAACACCAATGACTACTACTTGGCATTTAGCACCTATCAGTGAATTCTGTAACAGAAAAAGAACCATAAAGTCAAACTGCTAATCTCCTGCATCATTAGAACAGAATACTTTGACCAGTACCAGAAAGCACCAATAACTCTTACCTTTTCCTCCAGTTTCATCTCTTTCGTGAGTTCAGCCATCACATTTTTTATTAGCTTCCACGTTTCACTCCTGTCGCTCATCTGGGCAACCTGATCTTGAAGATTATGGAGCAGAAGCATCACTTGGCTGTATTTTTCATCATGGTGACGGCATTTGTCAGACATGAAGGCCATCTGCTTTTCCAGCTGACTTATACGACTAACATCAAAGATATTTATGGCATCCTAAGGTATAAAGAGGTTTTTTTAATATATAAAATAAATACATTTATTTACATTACCCTTGTGTGTCAGGTAGTAACTGCAAAATATTGACGACATGGGAGACAAGAAATCTTAAAAGATATGGAAGTTCTTCCCTAGACGTTTCCCTCTTACCTTTGGAGGTTGTACAGTGTGAAAAGAATCAGCCTGTGGTTCAGGAACATGAACAGAATCATCTATTCTCTGTAGTCTATGAATTCTTGTCCAGTTCAATGAAGGTAATAATGAAGTAAAGCCATCAAACCCCAAGAAACATATACCTGGATCAGAAACAGCAAAAAACAAAAAGGGTGCTCAAGAGAATTCTCCCTTACTACTGCTTACATCTACAAATTGTATTCTTACTTCAGGACACAAACTACCTGAAGTTTGCAAAGTATCTCTCACACAGTGGACACTACTCCAGTCTAAACAAAAAAAACAGCATAAGCCAGCTTTAAAATTAAAGTCAAGCACTCAAGAATGTTAGGGAACACTCATCAGTACCCCTCACTCACTTTGTATGGCGGGCAACCTGTGTTTATGTATCATGATATATCCTTAATCTCACACTACTGCTTCCCTGGGACCTAGATTTCATTTACTGATTAAGAGAGGCCCTCCTCACTGAAGGCAGATATCCAAGTACATCTTTTTATCTCAGTGGAAAATAACTTGCCTTATACCCTATTTACTCCATACCATGTTGCACGTTACCTATTAAAAGTTGGAGGAAACTTAGGCTTCCACGGAAACAATCTAGAGTTTCATGAAGACTGCACTTATTTTTGCAATATCTTAGTGAGAAGTAGCAGCATTTTCTACACAGGGTAGTTTCTTCCTTTCTTATTGTTCCTAGTACAGAGGATTTTGAATTCCCACTGTAAGTTTCTGAGAAACTTCATCTTCTCCCCAGTGCAGCTCAAAGTTTCTCAGGATGCACAGAGACATGAAACTGCTTTTCAGAAGTGGCCCAGGACTTCAGGTAAATATTTCAACTGAGTTTATTTCAAAGTAGACAGGTGGTCTGGAATATTGCCACAGGCCAGTCTAAATAGCAGTATTTTAAGCAATTAAAGCATGATCTAGAATAAAGGAAAGACTTAGGATGAAATGGTAAAAGAATTTAACCACTTTTCTATGAAGATTGACAACCATCAAAGCAATCAGTACACAGCCTACTCTTTATAACATCATTGCTCTTCCTATGAGGGGAAGTAAAATAAAAACAAGGATTTCAGTACTTTTACTTGCTCAGACATTCTCTCTGTCTAAAGGGCTTAATGAAGTTATATCAAGGGTATGGGTATATCATGTCCTTTCACAACAAGGGGAAAGCTCACCATTAAGTTTTCTTCATAAACCAAAAGTTGAACTGAAAATGCTGTTTTGGAACAGCTGTAGTAAGCTAACACTGATTTGTATTATGACAACTAAATGATTCACATACCTAGTAGAAACAGGAGTGGGATAAGAAACAGTAACAGCTCGAAGACATGTGGAAGGCATCTAGAGAAAGAGAGAAGAAAGTTTACAAGAAAAAAACCACATTTGTTATATTTTATTTTATAACTGGGTAAATAATTAGGTCATAAGTTTTTTTCAAAGGATACACACCTTCTTAGAAGAAACACCTTGAACGAAGACATCAGAGTAACAAGCTGATACCACCCAGATCTAAGCAACCTGACCATGCCAGAAGCTGCCCTCCCTAGAAGACAAAAAGTGGTAGTGGGAAATATAATTACTGCCACTCATGTTCAAAGAAACCAAGCAGAATGACATGCAACTGTGGCCAAGACACTTTGCACAGCTGAGAATTGCACAAGTACAGGCAACACATGCATCTTATTAGCATCTAGGTATTGCAAGTGCGACAGCACTAATATCAGCTACTCAAAACCAATAGCCATGCAAAAAGATTAAAAGCTCATTTGCCATAACCATGCTATCTTGTCAGAAACTCAATATTAATGTTTGAATCTAAGTTATCACACAAAGATCTCGGGGTGTTTCAAGAAATGCACAGATTAGCAGCACCAGTTTTTGCTAGCAGGAATATCAAGATAGGAAGCAGCAACCAAACACCCCCTCCCAATATTCTTGGCACCCCATATTCCATGCTGTTCACACAATCATTGCCTCATGAAACAGTCTGGTTAGTCTCCCATTATGCCTGTGAACAGAAATATACCCTCTCATTAAGCCAACTTTGGTCAGTAAGACAAGCAAAGTACCACATGCATTTCACAAGACAAAGCTACAGCATAAGCACAGCTGAATGAGCAGAAGCCACAGGCTGCAGGCCCCTCCTTTGTCAGGAGGAACAGGCCACACGCACACACGGATTAGGATAGTAACCTGGAGACAGAATGGCCAGCCAAAGGAGAGACACCACCTTCTGAGACACAAGCCATCCCGTTGATCCCACTGTTCGCAGCACGTGAAGCATAAAGTAACCTAGATTACAACAAATTAACTCTATGTGGTAACGTACACAAAGGAGCTCAATGTTCTTGTGCAGTAGGTGCAGTAAACCAGACTCAACCCCCTGCCCATTACGTATTCTGCATCGTTTCAAACCATCCCTTTTGGTAGCCTACAAACTTGGTTCTTCACTATTTGAAAGCAAAGCAAGCCACCAATAAATATGAAGCCAAGTAAAACCAAGACAATTTAGAAACAGAATTCTCACGTATAAACAGAATGATCAATAGCATCTGTGCAGTTGGAACATCGCTTTTCCAAATCAAAGTCTGTATTTTGCAGCATGTTTATCTAACAGTGCCATGCTAGGGATAACAGAGAATAGCAAAAGAGTACTACCATAAAAAAAGTTTTAAGCACATCATTACTTTAAAAGCATCTTGAACTCAATGTATAATTTGAAACATTATCTAGGTTCATGTGTAGAAGAGGGAACAATCAGAAATTTTAAACCCTAGTGAAATAGCGATGTTTAAGAAATACTGATAATTGGAAATATTCCCTAACAAAAATTACAAGCAGTAATTTTTTTATTAGCATTCCCAAGGACCTTTAGTACATCAGTTTTGAGTCTCTTAAACAAAAAAACCCCAATGCACTATAACAAATACTGTAACTTAAAGCCCACTGAAGCCAACAGTTATGATATCCAAGACTAGAAGTGTTCATTCTACAGAGTAAACTACATAGTAGATATTTACAGCCTACATTTTTAGATTAGCAGATATGTCTGGGTTAATCTGAGGGATTATAGATATACCAACCCAATATTTTGCAAAGCATTTAGGTGACTGAAGTGTCTCAAATCATTTTCCTTTGCTGAGTAAAGAGCACTCAGATTCTTGATGTTTCTGTCATTCAAGCTAGGGAGTGCTCATCTCACAAGGAAGATTCTATCCCTATAAGATTCCTGCAAAAATTGACTATCACTAGAACAAGAATAACATGTTAAAAACCCTTTATTTGAATAAGCTGTATACCAATACCTCATACTTTCATTTAAGGGCAACTTTTCAACCTATTGAGTATACAGACTTCCCCAAGGTGCAATAAATTAACAATCTGGCTCATTCTAACATACAAGGTATATGCTGTCCTTACACCTTATTTTTACTAACAGGTAAGCTGTCTGACGAGCTTGGAGAAAAGCAAGTATCAGAGCAAGAAGTCAAACAAGAAAGGGGCTAAGTAAGTTTTCTAAACACTTTACACTTTTAATCTACTTTGATAAAGGTAAAAAAAAAAACCAAAACAATAAGTATGATTAACACTGTGAGATTGTGATGCAAAATAAAAGCAAAAGAAAAAAGGTCCAAGTCAACCTGCATAAGAAAAGGTGTGCCAAATGGTCCTTGCTACCCTTTTAGCCCGTGAGGATTGCATGTGGTCTGTGGTGTATGTTTCAAGATGTTTCTTCCCCTTACAGTCATCACCTGTTGGTTGTGGTAACACTCGATTAATGGGACACAGTCAAAATCAAAACAAGATTGTTACAAGATAACTTGAACAAGTCTATTTCATAATATCAGTTATCAAACCAAAAACTACTAAGTAAACTTCAGTGGAACTTGCTAAGGGAAATAGTACAGTACACCAGGAAATCACCATTCTCCCCCCTACATCTAAGCTGCAGAACAAATGTTTATTTTCTGGCTTCTAGAGAGTCCTGGGGCACCTGACATCACTGTTAGAGCAACAACCTGGTAACAGCCCAAGGCTAAAAGACATCATCAATGGTTATACTTACATATGGATTCCTCATTTACACCAAGATGGCTATCTTCTCTATAAAACTCCTTTACATTCATGTTTCCACAGTAGTCTGAGTGAGCTGCAACACAGTCAAAAAGCATACATGGAACCTAACTCCCAAGTTCAAAGCCTTTTATATATGCTCATTTTAGCCCTCCTGTACACAGATTTTCACAAAACTGGCTTAGTTCACTATTAAAGCCAGATTACTCACAGGAAACCTGAAAAAATATCAAGGAAGAAGACTACTCTCGTGCAATTTTTTTTTTCCCCCCATTTCGTTCTTTAAATATCACGGAGTCTTTTAATTCAAAAACCTTTCTGCCTCTTTTCAGATAGCTAAGTTAGTAAAAAAGCCCCTAAGTAACAACTTATCAGGTGTTGAGTCCCTATGCCCACCATTCTGTCCAACAGGCCAACCAACCATTACATCTTTGTGCTGGTTTTACTAGAGGATCTTAAGAGACTGAGAAGGCAGCATTAGCAAGTTATAAGGCACTGAGGCAGAGAGAAGACGAGAGAACAGTTTTATTTGCACACAAACATCAGTTACCTTCTGCCTACGGCAATTTAGCTTCACTCACAGAGCGGGTATTAGAGAAGAAAAAGCATCAGAGAAGAATCAAACATTTTCAGTGAAAACAAGATATGCTTTGGAGTAGTGCAGAGTGATGATGACTGTTATAGTTTTGCAAGACAGCCTTAAAAAAAAAATCTTAAAGTGCACAGCAGGCTTAAGGGTAACAAGACAGTCCAAACCTGGAGACACTGAAAAGTTAGGATTTGACACTATAACACAAAACAATTTAAAACTGAACTTCAGTTTCTTAATTTAAGCATGACCTACCACTTTCTAGTAAAAATCAACATGGGAATTGTTAACTGTAACATAGATCTCACATACATGAATCCTGATACTTCCAAAGCAGGGGCAGAAATATGAAAAGCACAACTGAGATTAAAAAAAGGGAGAAAGACAGGAGCCAGCCAGAAGACTATAGAGAAAGAACACTGTAGTGCCAAAGATGAAGTCTGTAAGGAAAAAAAAAACACAAAACCAAACCAACACACACACTCTGGCTTTGTGTGGAGACCAAGGAAGACAATTGAAAAGGTACCTTTAAAATCATAACCCAGCTTCAGCAAAACCATTTGAAATAGTTGCACTAATAGTGATGCAAAAGATGCTGCAGAATGTTTGACCAATCGCAGAATCTTACTCATGTAGAAATAGGTTCCTCCTATTAAAAGAAACAGCGCGAATACAAATTATTCACCCACACAGATGTAATTCTACCCTCTGGTGACCATCAGCCTATGGAAGAGTAAGAAGGAAGCACAGAAAGCCTTTCCTTAGCTATGAGTACATCACTTCAGCAAGCATGGTTTGAAAAGTCTGGATGCACTAGATATTACAGCAAAGCTTTTGTAAGAAGTACCCATCCTAGGGAAAACATCTTCAAGACAGAACACACGACTTCAGCGAGAGCACCTTTTCTTCAGGAGAATCAAGAACTCTAAACAGCAACTAATTCCTTGCTTACAGAACTCGAGGTTTCTCAGTTAGGTGAGCTGTTGATACTGATTTGATATTTGATGTTGATATTGATCACAGGACCAAAGAGACAAACTATACTCTTACTCTGGATTTGAAAGGGTGAGAACTTTTCACCCTCCTCACCTTTATGTTAGAAGTTACAGCAGTACTCTGCCTTAAATGCTAGATATACACAAAAAGCAGTATGTGCCTCAAAGAATTTGAAGTCACATTAGAGTCCAAACAAACCAATTTCTTGCTACTGAAAATGTACTCCAAGAATAACACCTACAGATTCCTCAGAATTGGTTCCTTTCTAATTCAAGGCCACTCAAGAAAATTTTTTCATAACTGAGGGCTACCAACAATCAAGAAATGCAAGATGCTGTGCAAGAGACAGGCAGACAGTCAAGACACTGAGGACAACCGTCCACAGAATGGAGATTGCCTTGGAAAGGCAGAACCTCATTTACAGCAGATTCATTTGGTTTTGAGCTTTAGGAATGTAGTCACTAGGAACTCTATTTCGAGTAAGTTTCTCCCCTTCGAGTTCAATTTTTCCAGTAGCTGAGGTCTAGCTTCTAAAAACACTCTAGTAAGCTGCAAGGTTAAAAGAGCAGGAAAAAAAAAAAAGTAGGAAGATATCTCTCAGATTTCCTGGATGATGGAAGCACTGAAAATAACAATTCTGTTCAACCTTGAAAGTTCCTGTAACAAAAAAAAAAACAAACCAAACCAACTGGACCACATAGGAGTTTGTCTGAAAACCCCGGCGAAAAAACCCAGACAGACACACATTCCATATAAGATTAGAAGACTCTTAAACGTTGGAACAGCCTATTGTGTTCAAATCAGTCTGGAAATATAACTTGTTAAGATATCATGGCACTTTCATTTTGAAATTGTTTAATACCTATAGCAGTATGGGAAAAAAAAGAATAGTTATCTCAGAAGCTGACAAGTATATAAAGTTTCAACTGATATGAAAAAATAATTTATATAAGCTGATCTCTAGAATTTAGTTATTTTAAGTTTAGCTAGGTAGGAAAAGTGGTTAAACAACACTACATGTAAAATGCATCAACTAAACCATACACAATTCTGCTATTTGGATAAAAAATAAGAGAAAGTAACTTACTAGAAACGTGTTTCTGGCTCCTATCCCTAGAGTAAATTCTGGAAGATGGCACATGAGAAGCTGAGTATGCTGTGAGAACCTCCTTCCGCTCAGAAAGCATGCTGCAGTCACTGCAGGTGTAGCCATTGAGCTGCACTGTGGTCTGCTTTTCCGCCGTGGCTCTGTCACCATTTCCCTGCATCAGTGCACTATCACTGTCTAGCAAACCAAGAGCAGAACAGTCAGTGCACTGTCATCAGCACTCCCATCACTAGTTACCGTTAAACAGAACGCATGAGGAAGGAAAAGGAAAGTGTAGTTACCTCTGGGGTCGCCTTCATCATCAAGACCTCCAAAGAAGAAAAAGAAAAAAAAAAAATTGGTCCCAAATATAAGGAAGTCCCGTAATCAACTACAATAGCTGACATGAACTCAAAGTCCTACTAACTTTAAGACTGCAAAGAAAAGCCACTTTATGATTAATATGTAACATATTTTGCAGTCTACCACACAAACAGACGGGTGTACTCGGGCAGTAACACAGTGGGGTAACAGCCAGTGAGAAGCACTACTGCAGAAGCAGCAGGCGAAATAATAGGAACAACAACTACACCTTTTCTTAGCTCCCATGTGACTTTAAAGCAGCTAATTACAAGCTGACGCTGTCTCTGTTGCTTAGTAACTACTCTGGTACTACCGTATTTTAAGATTCTGTCTCAAGAGACAGGTAATCTAAAGTTTAGAATGTGTTCTATTAAGATTGAAACAATTCCTTACATTAGGACTCTGGGAAGGTCACAAGCACACTGACTAGAAACTAACAGTCTGATCTGAGAGATATAGATTGTTGATCTTTTACACAATACTTTACACAGACAATACTTTATGTAGACAACTCTCATATTTTCCTCTTCAGTGAAGGCTGTAGGTTCCCAAAGGCATACTTGTGTAGTATATACTTGCAAACACAAACCAGCCAGTCACATACAAAAAACCTCTCAGGAAATCCTGACGTGCCACTGATTTGAAGCTTTCAGATTAAGGTGTGTTAAACTGAAACACACTTTGGCCTATAAACAAACAAGAAAATGCCTTTCCTTTGGCTTTTCAGAGACAAGTTGTGTTTACTGTTCTTTATATAAGCATGCTGTGCACATTTTTGAAGAAAGTCATGATAACAGATAATCACAGCTACACAAGCTATGATGTTGCATCACAAAGTTGTATATGTTTGCCTGGCATATTAACTTGACTGTGCACTGTGTCCTGATGCTGCCCATGACAGTGAATCAAGTTTACACACTGGAGTGTGAATTTCCAGTAGGGATCTTAATAAGCAGGTATCGACAGGAAAAGGTAAAGTACATGCACATGTTTGAGGGCAGCATGGAAAAATGGATAGGGAAAAGAGGGAAGACATGGGCATATGTTTATACACACCAAACCATAAGCAGTTTTCACAGTGTGATGCAAACAACAGCAATGATTACCTACCCCAGAAATGATCAACTTCTGTCTGCTCTTGAATTAAAGATTCATCCAGTACAGTGGATACCATTGGTCCATCACTGGCATGGCTATTGAAACTGCTTTGGCTAAAAATGGAACAGCTAGGTAGATTTTTCCTTGGCGTGTGCCTTGCACTGCCAGACTGTTTATTTATACTTCTGCGCTGCTTCACCATCCTAGGAAACAAAGCAGAGACAAATAAGACATAACACTAAATTTCTCTTCATCGCTCATTTTAAAATTGAAGTCAGGGTATTTTAACAATGGCATGACAGTTGAAATCAAACTTAAAAGAAAATCCTCACACTTGAGCATCTGTACTTTTGCAAAGATTTCATTACAAACCACACACGGGAGTAAACACTGAGAACAAAGAGCAAACCAGTAGGTAACGCATGTTTGCACTATCGTGTTCAAACAGGAAGTCTCAAGACTCCAACCAATATATTAACCTATGATGACACAGAAAATGCTTACTGAGAAGACTGTTCTCTGAGGGAGGTGCTTCCAGCATAGGAGCTGTCGTGATGAACATCGCTTCGTGCATCGTCGGCTCTACTAAATCCCGCCGCAGCTAACCGTAAACTACGCCGTGACATCCTGGGTGAATCAAACACTGGGTCTATTTTATTTTCAGTCTCAAAATCCAACGCAGATGAAGAATAACTTGAACTGCAGCAAAATAAGAATAGCAAAGTTACCAGAGTTTAAGAGAAAATTCCCCTAGTAACAAACATGCCCTTCAAGCTAGTCAAAGTTTCCATGAGAAGCGTTATGGAGCAATTCCCACAAGACATGCCATGTAACACAAATAACTCAGAAATACAGAGATATTCAAGGTTCTCTTAAGCAATGCGTAATACAAGTTCAACAACTGAAAGCAAATCAGAGTTAGAAAGAAACAACCACCATGGAAACCATGTTTGATGCTGAGCCAGAGCAAGCACTCGTTATGCAGCCTCAGACAGTTCTTTTGGGACCAATGAGAGAGGAAGCCACTCATGACAGTTTCTTCGCCACACCTAGCAGCAAATAAAAATCATGATCTAAATTGCAAGGCACATATTAATTTATAGTCAAGAGTTTTTTTTTGTTTGCATGTTCCTTGTTTTGAGAACCAGGGACATATGTGCCACCATACTCTGAATTTCAATCTCCCAACAAGGAGGAACTTCTCCCCTTTAAGAAAAAGCCTTCCTTACTTTGGCTACATTAGTTTAACTAGTATTACTTTTTCAAAGTGCTATTAAAAGATTTCTTAATTTAGTGCAAATCATTAGAAATATTTAACTCTGAGCAAATTTTTAAAAAATGTTTCTCTGTTTTATCCTACAGAGGCAAGCTTACATGTAGATAAGCATCACAACTTTACCACTCCACATTTTAACACTCAATTCTCCCAGATCCTCCATGAAAACTTACAAAGAAGAGAAAGCAGCAACACAAGGCAAACACAGATTAAACAGAGTCAGAAATACTAAAACAGATGTTTAGCCTAAAGCAGAATACCCATATTTAAAACCAAAGGAAGGATTCAGTCATGTATCTGAGCAGAGCTTTTTGTGATGGGGTACTGCCCAGCAGGAGACCAGGTCCCAGAACCACTGCACTGTGACCCAAAGTATCCAAATGCTACATGCTCTAGGCCAGCCTCCCCACACAGCCTGGTCCTCCTGGGCTGCAGGGATACAGAGCTGTAAGGACAAGTCACTTCAGTATTCCTGGGGTTTTCAGGCAGCTCTCTCTCCCCAAAACCCAAAGGAAAACACGCAAGCAAATCAGATCTGAGTGAGCAGACTCTGTTGTACAATCTGTATCTGAAATGGAAGCTTTCACTTTAAAAAAACACATATGAACAATTGCTATAAAATATATTTGTGCACACAATTTAATTGAAATAATTTTCTTACATAACCATTGAAGATGGCAGAACATTACAAAGAATATGGTATGTCCTGTATTACTTTGTCATACCAGTAAGCTGACATCAGAAAGCCTAGGAGCTGCACTTAGAGCAGCGATTTATTTCTGACAAGGTGGGTGCTTTTGAAGAGAACTTCTTGATTGCTCCACAATGCAAAGTAAAGCACATCAGATGGGACTGTGTCAGAGCATATGAACTGCATTAGTTTAGGATAAAAAAAAAAAAAACAAACAAACCCTAACCCAGACAACGCACTGCAGGAGAACATCTAGTTGCTCCAGCAGCTAATGGGCATTCAAGCCCACCGGACCAGACCAGAGCTTATCCAAAATAACCTCTTCTATCACCCAGAGGTGTGACAGATTTGACAGCAGGTCTTCAGCACTACCTACACAGCTTGATCTTCTTGACCTGCCCTGCTAATGTTGCCACATGCAGTGCAACCCTGTACAAGGCAGGAGTCTAAGCACAGCTTCAGACAAACCCAGCATACATTCCTGTACACAGTATGCTTACTAATCCTTGCTTACATTCGGGTGAGGGGGGAGAGGAAATAAGACAGGAGCCTCCTCATGGCAAAAAGGATTTGGTCAGGTACAAAAGGACATAATTTTTAGTTTTCAAAAAATATTAATTTAGATAGCTTGTGTTCTGACAGATGTGAAGTGAGAACACGGGTTGAAAACTGCTCTTCCTGTTGTTCCTCTGAAAGAGTCAGAGCCACAAGAGTTTACTGATGGGCCCCTCCCTAAACAGTTGTTTCAGAACTTAGTTTCACTATTTACACTTGCCACTAGACATTTGCTTCCCTCGGCTTCACCCAATGTTCCTTACAGATACTCAATTCACAAGAACACAGAGTACACAGGACAAGCTGACAGCTGTGGTCAGCCTCAGTTTGTTTCTGTTTATGAACACTTGCTGTTATTAAGTATCTCAATGAGCATTTATATTAGTTTGGGTTGAATACATAGCTTGGAGTTGGGCTCTACCACAAAACAAATGCACGGGACCTTTTCCTTTTTAAACAAAAGGAGAACTTCTCTCTTGTTTATGCAGAATTATTTGTCCTCTGTCAGCAGGACAGCATCTAGAAGTCTCCCAAGTCAACACCTCAATTTCCATGCTCTAGAAAGTGGCCTTTTTTCTTCCACAGAAAAGGCAAACAAAACCCCTGCTGCTCCTTCCACAGGACAGAAGTGAGCCTCTACACTGATGGGTCTTCTATCCAATACAGATGGTGAAACAGAACTTCTAAAAGGTGGGATGCAATTAGCCTGCGTTCTAGATAACATACACACAGAGTGCAGACTCTGGTTCCTTCCCCCAGCAAACAGCTCCCATGGCTGTGGGCAGATCTGCTGACTGGATCTAGCCTGACATTTCCAGCTTCTTAGCTACTACCTTGACAACTCCTTCACATGAGCTTCTATATAATAAGAATCTCCTAGACTTTAGTGCATTAATTTTCACGTTATGTATTTATAAGTGGAATGAGAATAAGGTCTGCCAATTTTAGCACACTTATACCTTTGTCTGGAGGACCTTAATCCATTTATTTTTAAGTACTCCTTGGAATAAAGTGGGCAGTAATGTTCTTGACTATCCAATATAATGATAAATGCAGTACACCTCGAGAACTACAGCTGAACAGCTGTCTTCTAACATGGATTCAGGTTATCATCAGGATACAAATGTTCACACACTTCCTGACCAGGGTGTTACTTGTATCAGGTGATCAGGGACAGTACCTTCACTTGTTCAGCTACTGCTTTGATCACTCCCAAAACACACATTAAAAAACTAAAGTTTTATTCAACTATTTTGCAGAATACTACATCCTGATTTAATGCTATGACACACACACAAAAAAATCAAATTCTTACCAATTTAATCCATATTTGTGAAGAAAAAGAAGTGTTAACAGTACCTAATCAGCAAAAACACAACATAACTCAAGAAGATGATGGGTGACTAAAAGGAAGGATCAGCCTGAAGAGGTGGGTGTAAATTATATGTTGACAAGTGGGTGAGATTCACAAGTTTGACTTGCATTTTGAGGAGTATAAAGGTTATTTAGCTATATCAGTTTAATGTTTTTCTGATTTGAGCTGGAGGAGTAAAAGCACAAAGTAGAAGCACTACAAACAGTTATGAACACGCAGTAATCCCAGTGAGTATTAATATAAATTCTATTAATAGGTCATAACCAAGTCTATTAATAGCTTTGTGGTATCTAACTTCACTGCACTTCTTCCTGCAGTGCCACATGCACAAGCCAATTTCTTTAAAGAAACTCACAGACAGATTTTGTAAAGATTGAACTGTCAAAGGCAGAATAAGACAGAGGAGAATATAAGGAAAACAAATATGGGGCAGGAGAGAGGAAGGAATGAACTTCAGCATTAAAATATTTCTGATTAGCAACTCTGCCTAATTCACCCTTTCCTCAGATTCTTCAAATATTGCTTGACCCAAGGTAGGAAGAACTGCATCTATAATACATGGCATTCTGCCCAGATTCAGCAAGCAGCCACACAGCAAGTCTGCTCAACAGACTGTTCACTCTCAACACCCTGAAAGCAGGCAGTGTACCAAGTAGTTTTCCCCCATTATTTTAATATTTGGCGACTTGCAGAATATTTCAAGAGGAAATTTTAAAGGAAGTGTTTGATAATCCTTCCTTTCTACAGAAGGGATAATTACAGTGAGTTAATTTCGGCCTAGTTTAACTATACTTGCCTTCATTAAGTCAGTTATTAAACAGCAGATTATCTGTCAACACCTATAGCTAATACAGGTTATCACAGCAAAATGGGAGGTGGAAGAGTTTCAGGAGACATAACCTTCCCCTTCTACCAAGGCCTCTTCACGAGTTCTCAGCATTGCCAAACAACAAACCTCATTTATGTACTAAGTCAAACACTCCAGTTGTCTTATACACAGAATCCAGAGTCATAATAAACTACCCTCTAGACTTCAAATAGGATTTATCATTCTGCATCTTCCTCTCCTGGCAGGTTAATCTTTGCTCCTGTGGTATTCTCGTTTGCTTCAGTGAGAAACAAAACTTCCTGACAAAACAGCGGGCAAGAAGAAAAACCCAGCTCAGAAGTGTTTTAGCCTCAAATTAGTTCAAGCAAGCCACTGAACTTTATTTTGCTAATAATCTTGGAAATACACATAATAATAAACAAACAAACCCAATCTTATTTTCTTAAGTTAATACTAAGACCTACTTATTCCCTCTTGTCTGTGAGAAAGATTAGTTGCTGTGGAGAAGATTGTATACTAGAACATCCTAGTATCATTTCAGATAAATAGAACAACTAAGGATAAGAAATCAAATCAGATAGCAATGGCACAGCTTATTTTAAGAAAGATATGCTCACCGAGACATAAAAATCACCATCTAAAAAAACAAAGAATCAAAGCCTACTTTCATTGCTCACAGTAGTGAAAGGTCCTGTCTGTAGAAGAGTGAATTCATTTCAGCCAGTCTCTAAGGTACATGTGCAAGGTGGAGCTGTCTACCAACACTTAGCAATATAATAGTGAATCTGCTGGCTGATACAAAGCACACAAATCATCCTTCATTGCCCAGCATGCTATTCCTTGAAATTTGTAAACCCATTTGTATTTAACCAACATTTGACCAATGTTTCTCTAAAAATCACAAGAGTTGCAATTTAATTGATGCAACATAAACACATTCCATTTTGCAACATCACTGACATCAGGCTAAAGTTTAAAAACCCCACGAATCCCAGCAAAAACTGACAATGCTACACTTTGAGCACACAAAAGAAAGAAATTTAAGTTATATATTAGGTCTCCTAATTCTACAATGTTGCCAACTTCTGTTTGTTGGCAAGTAGCCAGGTATACTCCAATCTAAGTACTATATTTTAATACACATTAAATACATAAGAATAATTTACAGGCACACAATTTTTTTTTTTTAATGTAAAATTAGGTAAACCAATAACTATGGCTCACTTACACTTGCTGCAAAATACATCTACTAACTCCACATCAAGAAAAGCTACCTAGATTAAAACAGCAGCAACAATCTGCTCAATTAATGTTAATAAACCTCAAATGGGCTTCACAACAGCTATTTTGAGCACATAATACAAAAGAAGTAAACACACTACAGAGTTATGTTCAGAAAACTGAAGTGATTAAGAAAAACAGTCTAATAATGGTCAGTTTAATAAATACACAAGAAAACCCAAGTTCATTAAAAACAGATTTTACATTCACACAACAAGCAGCTTTGCTAATTGTAATCAATAATTAGTTCTGCTAAAAGTAATCCATACACAGCAATAGGTGCACATCGGTCAGTGTTTTACAGTGAAAATGGAGCCAAGTCACAAAAGAAAACACACACAGAAGTTACAAAACACACCAGAAAACATCTAAGAATTCTGATGACGTATTTATAGACATAAACCAGCAGTTGTAACCAGGCGGAGACTGGTTATTCATAGCAACTTATAAACACTGAGTCATTATCTTAGTCATTGTCCTTAGCTCAACACGTATCCTCTCCTCCATTTAGGACACAGCAGCCACTTTCAAAACAGACTAGGTAAAAAGTGCTTCTTCAAGAAGTCAGCTACTTACCGTGACAGCTAAACCCTCCGGAATTAACAACATTCAGAGAACATGCAGTTTCTCTACAAGAAGAAAAGAGCTCTCACCTGAGTGCATATGTATAGCCAGTGTTCTCTGGCAGACAATGGGGAGGGGTGTACGTGTGTAGACGTGAAAAGTCCATGTTGACTGTTTCAAATCATACTGTAAAAGGTGAAAATAAAGTAATGCAATGACTTGAGATTACAGAAAGTCAATGTAAGAGCCCTTGCATTGTTCAGCCTGTGTCAGGAAGTATTGAAATAAAAGAAACTCGTTACCAGAAACATGGAGCTCTCAGTACTTCAGCTGTATTGCTGCTAGAGCTAGATCTGCCCTATCGTTGCTGCACAAGACACTGCATCAGTGCACTTCTGACGACAACTTTCTTTATGATAGTCTATTTTCAGCAATTTCCGAGTTCTCTGGAACATTACTGTAATAGGAGCCAAGCCCTTATCACAGCTATGCTGCCACACTCCACAGGAACTAAGTTATGCTAGCATTCCCAAAGAGCTAAACAAAAATTTAAAACACTACTAGCCATGCTTTCAGAGATCTCTTCACAATGAGTTTTGCTTTGAGAGCCCACTGAGCAAAGCCCATCAAGCAAAGCCCAGGCTGTTCTGTGTGCCAACAAAGCCTAACAGATGAAACTGGGGAAACAGTCAAATCATTCTACTCCACACTTTACATATAGTCAAATCATTTTACTCTACAGCCCTTGAATACCATCCACTAAGCAGCAAGGGAGGTCCCTTCATTTCACATAAAACTGCAATATTTGGTATTGGTTAATTTATTCCTGTCACAAAACACACTGAATATACACCCTAGCAGAAGAGCCAACTGCAAAATGACTCACATGGCTAGAATTAGGTACATTTTCCAGAGTGCCATCCACTTCCAGAAGAACTCTACCAAGCAAAAAACCAAAACACTTAAAACTTTCCATGGGATCTTTGAAAGGTGTTATAGCATTAGGAACAAAATGAAAACTCATGTTGCTGTCTCTAGAAGCCTGCAGAGCTGCACAGATCACTATTTGTAGTATTATGTATTACTTGACTTTCAATTTCAAAATATTTGAAAATAACTAGAATCCTTCTCAGTTTTACTAGCCACAAGAACAGTTTTGCTCTTCTAGAAAAGATTCTGTGACATTAGGTTGTTGATGGTTAAGAAATAGGGATTTGGCTATCCTGGATTTGCATGGTTAGCAAAGCAGAATCCTAGCTATTTTCAGATTATCTCTGGCTCCTCTCCTGTTTCATCAGCAGCAAAAGATACTCCACCCAACTGTGATGACATGCCTAAACTAAGGTAAAAATATCTGTAGCTATGCTTTAATTCTTATAATCAAAACATCAACAAAGTATCTAATTTTGGAGATGCACTTCCCTATGCTGAAAACTTTTCTTTTTTCATTAGCTACATATGTGCATAAGAGAAAAAGAGCAGAGTCTCAGGTGTGGGTAACAGCAGCTCAAGAAGAAATCTCCACATGCAAGATTAAAATGCTCTTAGTCAGTCCACCAGCAGCCTCCAAATCCTCATGTCAATAAGGTAGGTGGATATTTACATTACTACTGAAGACAAAGTCTCCTTCTTGTTTGTTTGGGGTTTTTTTTGTTTGTGTCTTTTTTTTTTTTTTTAGAAAAACTTACAGGCCTAAACACTGTAGCTTTCTGAAGGCAAGCACCTCTCATGCCTTTGCAGGGTTACTGACAAGGTCTCACTTCTCCCGTTTACTTTTTTTTTTTTCTTTAATATTCTAGAGAAAGCATTTCCATTAAGTGATCCTTTTCTACACTTCCCTTGTCCCAGAGCCATAATGCTTTCACTGACTGGCAGACAAAAATCTGAGTTGTTTAGAAGAAGCTTCAATCAGTAGTGTGGCAGTATAAAACATGCAGTCGAATTCTCTTGCTAGAATAAGCAGCAAATACAGCTGGAATACATAACGTGTTGTTACAGTATGGCAGCAGTTAAGAGTTCTTTAGAACAGAGGAAATAGGGACCAGAAGGGAACAACTCCCCTGTAACTAAAGTGGAAACAGTGAATTTAAGATAAGGGATGTTGGCAACATCAGATCACTTGTTTTAAACAACAGCAACACAAATTTGCCAGATACATGCCTACTGAAATTCAAAACTATGATTAAGGTTGATCTGTGAAATTGGTCTATTCCAACAGAAATTTTGAACCCAAAAGCTAGGGAAATCTCTGGTTAGCTTCCACTGGAGCTGATCTGTGCTGCTTACCACACAACATTCCATCAATAAACCCAATTTTTAACTGGCAGCTCAATAGCTGGTATCACGTTGTTGACACCCAGCAATGTTTCCCCAGATGGAAAGCCAGGCTAAGCAAGGGAGCTTCTGGTAGCCACCAGCTCCTCCCTCTGTCTCTGCTACTAGCCATATGGGCAGGGCAAAGAGACTGAAAAATAACACACTGGCTCAGTTTCTTTCCTGTTCTTTCCCCTTCCCCTCCAGTTCTCCATGTACCTGATGGCTCAAGAAATCAAATGCTAGAATTTACATTCTATTTCTTATGTGATAAGGTTTGAAATATATCATCTTTAGTATTAGAAAAAATATGTACTTGCCAATGGCACTAACTGAAAAGCCTGGAAGACATTTATGTGTAGGTCAATAGTAGTTGGTTTTCATAACACTAAGTTCTCTAGCAAACACAAGTTTGCTATCTAAACATCACATAGTTAGAAATCACTCTTGGAAGATTTAGGGGCTTGATTTGCTTCACTGTTTGTCTGATGCTGTGAAATTAAGTCAGACTCAAAGGGAAAACCTCTACTCAGTTTCTCAAAGCAACAAACTAGGCTTAACTGACTTAAAACCGGAAAATAATCTTCAGATATAACTATCACAATTTAAAAAAACCCAGTAATCTAAAGTTTACTATGAAATTGGATTTTTTAGAAAAAGCTTCTAGCTACTAGTTCAACAGCTTAATTTCAGTTATCCATTTCTTCAAAAGAATTCACACAACAAATCGTCAACCCAATTTATTTAGAAATATTCTACATACATATTAGAGCAGAACTTTAAACTACAGAACAGACATGGGGTGGGTGGAGGACAAGAGCTCCCTCTAATTTCCTCACTCATGTTTAATAGCACCCCACCTTTCATATATTAATTCTTATTTATTAATCATTCATATACAACTGGAACAGGAGACATGCTAATAAAATATTTTTGAAATTTAAAGCCACAAAACTTGGTGGAGGACCTGAGAGGCAGACATAGAAGTACCTAGTTCCAGTTTAAACACTGCTGAGTGCCCGGCAGATTTCTGATTTAGACACCATAGATCTGTCTGGACTCAGTTTCATGCAGGCTTTTAGTATCAGCTTTGTCACAGGCATTACTGAGCCCAAACTAAGTAGCCTTTTTTCCATCTTCGGAAGCCCATAAATGTCCAAGTACTAAGGGATGTATAGTGGAAGAACTAAGCATGTAGTTCCATAAAAAAATAAAATCCCAAGAAGAATACACTTACAAGACAACCTAAAGGCAAATAACAAGGACACATTTCAGCTAGAAGACAAGAGGACACTAGATGCACCTCAAAGTACAAACTAATTTCCATGTTCCTGCAGAGGAAACTGCTGCATTATTTGCTTTTTTGGGGGGGGAAGTAGACAACAATCATCTCAGGTGTCATCTCTCCCTTCAAGTCAACTGAATCAGTGTAACGATTCACTAACAAATAAGCAGAGTAGAAGGGCAGGAGAACACAGATTCTGACCTGGCCTGAAAACAAGGAAGCAGAGGGACTCCTGTAATCGGTGCTGCAGAGTTCACCTTCACACAAAGCCTATCGCCTGTCTCCAGACCATGTGGACTCTGAAGCATCTGAGTGACAGGAGGCTCCTTCACTACCTCATAAGCCTGAAAATCACTTTCCTAACCAGCCAGCCTCAACAAAACCCTAGCAGGGCTGCAGCAAACTTCCTGTATTTCATGGAAGGTGATGAGATGCTCTGATTGTAGCCTTTAAGCACAGAAGCATCACAAGGCCCTGTGTGTATGGGCAACACAACACCAAAATCACACTATAAATAAAACCCAAGCATTTGGCAAGGACAATGATGTACCTCCACTTCTGTCTTTTGGGGCACATAAAATACCTAGCTAGATAGTTGGTGGCAGTCTATTTGTCAGGAGCCCCTTTTCTGACAAAGGAAGTGGTGAATTGCCATTTCACAAGCAGGACCCTGGCAGGGCAGAAATATTCACCAGAAAGTCTGTTATAGAATGAGACATTCACACGGAAGCATGGCTTATTTTTTATATCACAAGGGGTAAGAAAATTATACACGTAATGTCTTAGATGTTGGCACAACTACTTCAGGTAGAACCTATTCTATCCTTACTTTTTAAAGCAAGCAAACAAGTTTTAGTCATTACAATTTAACACAGTAATGCCACAAATGCTAACCAGATTTTTAGAGAAATTAATAATATAAATTAAATTGAAGTATGCAACCCTATCAGTTCCTGAGAGCAAGCCATTTTTTAGTTGTAATTTCAATTTTTATTTTCTACTGTTATCCAGAATTACCAATAAAATGACTCTTTTTGGTAAAAAAGACAAATTCCCAGGTAAATATATTCAACGAAGAATGGTTCAACATACCCAATTAACTACTTGTTTGAACAGGCTGAAGAGCAAAGAGCTCCATACTAAATCAACGTTTTATTAAAACACGTTCTTAAAACATTAGTATTCCTTTAAAAAGAAAACAAAGCAATCCCAAGCAATACAATTCACATTTTAAACAAGACGTTACGTTGATTATTCTGGCAAAGATCCCCAAATACAGGTGTCAAACCGTATCACTACTAACAAAGAGGCTCTTGACAAAGCAACAACATTGTGTATCGGTCGAGTACCTCTTCAGATGGCTTGTAGAAGAAAGGCTCACAGAACCCCGCTATACCTTCAGCTACGGCGAAACAAACGCGTCTGTCCACTGTTTACCCACTCGGCACCGAGAACAACTGCCCGGCTCCACACCGAG